TTCTTTGCACAATTTGCTCCGCATGTCCCCTTATCCCTCTCCTACTCCCTAGACAGCCTGCATATTATACTACCTCCCACCACACACCAAACTCTTCATCAGCATGCTTACCCACTGATGCATCTGGGGTGAATACAGCCATCTGAAGACATTCGGAGGGGCTCCTGAACCCCCGAACACTCAGATACTACGGGTTTGTTTGGACCAGTGAGGCTTTGAGTCTGACATGTGGAAGCAATCCCAACAGAGAAAAAGATGAAATGGTATATAAGACTAACACAAAGATGGATCAGTAATGATCAAGATCTGATGTCTAATCAAAACAAGTTCACTCAACACCAGCTGTGGATTCGCTTCATTTCTTTGCATGGGGTACTAGCATCACAGTGTGAGTGCTCTGCTCCAAAATACTTCTTTTATGGCCATCCAGGGACGTCTCAATAACTGGGAGAAAAGACGGGCAAAGTGTAGTCTCCGTGTGGCTAATTAGAAATGACAGGCGCATTACATCGTATTATTAACAGCAAACCACCGTGCATGAATGTCTTCCACCACAACGACAGTTAACAATTACACTATTTAGGTTGCATTGTGTAAAAATAGTATTTTCTTTTTTTATGATTAACATGAAAAATATATTCAAGTTGTTAAATGCCCAGTATTTGTTATGGATTTTATTGGGTTAAAAGTCAGGCTACAAAAACATGAATGCAGAGATGACAACATTGTTTGCAGCCACTTGGAGTGGAATCTCAAACAACACTGTTTCAGTTGTATGCCTCTTAATAATTCAGGCATGAACTGACTGACATTAGTTCACTCGGTGTGGCCTGTGGAGTTCTGTTAATCCCCCCACATTTACATCTGATTTCTCCCTGGACATTTTTCGGGCCACTGCCAGCCACACTCACTTCATCACTCTACTCAGCGACAACACAGCCGTTGGGTGTTTCCTGATCTTGTCTCTCCTCCATCCTTCCCTAATTGCATCAAACCATCAGTGAGCCAAAACACAGAGTAACAGTAACACGTTCACCCCATATTTCACGGCTGAGTATGATTTAACCGAGTGGAAGAGGCAGGTTGCATCCTTGAAATAGAGGTTCCAGGTTAGCAAGCGACGTTTTACTTTAAGAGGGTGAGGACAGATACTCAGAATCACCTGCTCTTTTAATTCTCTGTTTTGCAGGTGGCTCACTCCACGTGTACTGTAACCATGGCAACAACAGACACTAGCATCTGACTCCAAAGGGACTTCTTTATTTAGTTGTTATAATATGGAATTTTGTATTAAATAATACAAGAAAAGGAATGGATAATTAGTCAACTAAAACGAAATAGGTTTGAGCAACCTTCATCAGTGTGTATTAATGTATGCAAGTGTATCCCTGTGGCTCAGTGTGCATGCGTCACAACAGCAGCCAAACGTCACAGCTCAGCTGTGTGTGTTTGAGTGTCAAGAGGTGATTCAGTGCAGTGATTAACAGTTGTAGTTGTCTTGTATTTTGTTTTAAAGTTTAAAAGTTGACCAATGGAATCCAGATTTAATAATTTTATTGCTAAAGCTACATACTTTCCCAGAAATAGTTGCTCAGGGGAAGTTTCACCACAATCAGCCCCTACTAAACCCTTTGCTTACTGATGGGCTCTTTCCCAGAACTGTGGTTATATCCACTATCAACTGTTGCATTTTATTTTTAAATATAGGCTTTCGGGGTTCTCAACTTAAGGATACAGGGCAGAGGTGTACAGTATCAGTTATTTATACATTACATAGTGTACAGAGGACATCTAATAGGGACATTCAGGATAAGCATAAGCCCAGAATAACATCCTGCTTGAAACAAAAACGTTTTATAACTGATGTTTGTGTACTGCTGTGGAGTTCTGGTCTTTGCAGGAAAATAGTTCTAGCACATACAAAAAGATCATCTCCAACAACATGATTTTGATGAAGCTGCAGCACAACTAAGCTTTCTCCTTTCAAGACCATTGTAAAACTATCTTATCTTTTTCAGTCCTCCTGGCTCATATCAGTCTATTTCACAACAAAACAAAATTGTTTTCAGGTGCATGATCTGCAGGCTTATTGGTCAACATTGGAAATTGGCAATTTCTGTTGCCAACTTTTGCACTCACTATAACAAGTGATATATTCTATCTTGTTTGCACACACCCTAGTGCAAAATTGATGGTGTATGACCAAGCTCATTTCGTTGCCCAGTAATATCCTTGACCTGTCACGTTTGCTGATGTGTTCATTTTTATAGTGTTCCCTTCCCCATAACACTGAATCAATTGGCCAGGAGTTCAGCCAAGAGGGGGAAAACAAATGGAGAACTACTGCATAGCAGGTAGGAATTCTACCACAGGATCACTGCAACCCAGTACACAAAGGACTATTTCAAGGAATAAGGACAAACACAGAAAAAGACAACACTAGGTGCAGAGGATCGTAATACAGAAGGAAGAAAGGGATATGTGGTGAACTGCATTAGGGTGGAGTAAGTAACCAAAAAGTAGGGAAGTAGTACAAGAAGCCAGAGAGGAAAAAAAAAAAAAAAAAAAAACATTGCAAGAGACTATGTTGAAGAAAGAGAAACTACAGGTTAGTGCAAACAAAGTGTTCTTTTAGTTCAAAGGAAAAATATTGTTTTTGGTTTTTATTTACTATGAGCAGTAGTCTACCAATATTCCAACGCACTGTAGAGTGGTAAAAGTAAATTAAATAAATAAAAACACAACTCTATTTTTTCCACATAGCCAGGCTTAAACTGTCACAGCCAGAACAACCAGTTCTGTACTCGATCAAATCTCGATCCAGTTCTGCTGAGCTTTTTCACATCCTGGTTTTGAAATAGATCACAACTGAACTCTGCTAAGATTATCAGTGGCTTTGGTGGAACATGGATAGGCAAATGCCCGTTAGGACTAACAAAATTAGTTAATCGTTTTGTTTAAATTCTGTAGTATAAGGCACAATCTCTTTGACTTAATGATTTTCCACCATACTGTACCATCAGGAACAATGCTTAAGTAAGGTCATGATCACTCCAACAACAAACCATCCATCTTCTTTCTTACTCTCTTTCTTTGCTGCATAAATAACACATATCAAGGTCCAGCGCCAACTAGACAGCACAAAGAATCACGCACAGATTTACAACAGGTTATGTGTGCACATAACCAAATGTAAATGTTTGTGTAATGCAGCCTCAGGCACTGATGATCAAAAGCGTCATAATCTTTTAAATCCCTATTTTTCTAGACTGACCCCAAGTATGGTGATAGCAGAAGAAAACATTCTTTGAGATATCAATCATCTATGGCTCCAGACAAAGCCTTGTTACTGCATGCCACATTTGGCTTAATCATATTTTCAACTATTACGAGACAAGAAAAGGTAAATCAAGTAGAGTCTCTCTTGGACCACTTACATGTTTGCCAAATGAAAAGCAAATTGACTTTTCCTTTCATCACAGCAGAGATTTCTGGCGTTAACAAATAAGCAGCCGTTCTCCCATGGAATCAGAGTGGGCGTCTGCCCAAAGCAGATGACCTCTCTCAGTCCCCAAGTCTCTGAAAACAAAGCTCCATTTTGGCACGTAAAAACACACAAACTGTGAACAAAAACACACAGCGAGATGCAGTCATTTCCGTCTTTGACCTATACTGGAAAAAAAATACATGTCCAAAGTGAAGTTATCCTAACCCTTCTTCGTACTTACACAAATACTGTGTAGAGCAAGGGTTTACAACCAAAAGGCCTGCCAGGCTGGAGAAAGCATCATGAAGCACCATGCAGCATTGCTCTACATTTTAATTTCTTGATTTCCTGTTTTATTTAACACATTATAAAAAAAAAAACTTCCAACATGATGGATATATTCTAGTGCTAGAAAACCTTAAGAGGAAACTTTAGCATAAAGCCTGCTTATCCTTGGACTTGTCCAAAAGACAGTGATCACCGGTGAAAACCTAGCTATTCCTATACTCCTAGAACATTTTTCAGCTGTGGTGAACATGTCACTAAAAACAACGAAAAATGCCATGATGCAAAAACAAAACAAAATAAAAGCAGACGGTAACAGGATTTCAATAATGAACGATGACCAACAAATTGTATTTTTAAAGACAGTCATTTGCATTTTTTATTCTAATATAATAATAATTAAAAAAAATAAGTATGTGGCTTTTGTTACTGTTGAAAATTGACGTTTCTCTCATCTCTAATTCCAATACCTCAATATGGTACTTTTGGTTAATTGCAGTTACAGATATCTTCTAATGTACAATGACCTGTAAAGTAAACCGTATATCTTACTGGATAACAGTGTCACACGGCACAGATATCACCTGAATGTTAATAGTCTGCGTCATATTCTATTCTACTGCCATTTCCAGACATATCAAGTTAATAACTGCAAATGTAAAACCACTGAAATGGAGGGGCATCATGGGCATTTAAAGTGGTGGAAGTTGGGGTTCAGTTTAATAACTGCCAGCTACTGTCAAGACCATCATTAGAAGAATTGATGAAAGAGATGAAAAAAATAACACCTACTTCTAGGAGGTTACACACTCAAATGATACATTTTAATTACATTTTCAATAAAAAAAAATTATTTCCACCTTAAATTATACCCAGTACACCTTTAAGAGTGTGATTGTGGTTGCCATAATTGGAAACGCATGACATTGGTAGATTATGGAAAGAAAAGCACTTTAAAAAAAAAAAATCTTCTTAATAATGACACTGGAAATGTTGCAAACTGAACATTTACTGTGTCCGTTGCGGAAGTCACGTTTTGACGGTTGCTAAAGACACTTAAATGCCGAGTAACCATGAAGATGGAAACAACAGAGACTCTGGTGAGTGTATCAAACAAACCGCTGACGTGCTCACGTCATGACGTCTAAGTATTTTCCGTTCAGGACTGCGACGTGACGCACATGTCAGTCAACAACCCATACGTACAGACGGTGAAAGTTTCACTTACCTCGTGAGCCAAAATACGGAGCCTTTGCTCGAGCGTTCGCTTTTTCTGTATCAGGACTTTTGTTGACAACGGAGCGAGAGTAGACAGTTGTGTTGAAGAGTGAGTCCCTCCTTTCCTGTCTTAGCTCTCTCTCCCAACACACAGCTGCTTGCACTTTCAGCGCCTCCCTGCCTCCCTGCCTCCCTCCATCCACGCTCCCGCTGCTCCCTCTCTCAGTCGTTACTGCCACTCTTCAGCTCGTCTGACCCTTAGTTAGTGGTGAAATCTTTGAGGGTCTGTGGTAGACGAAGGTTTCCGCGAGTCTGTCCCACCCCACCGTTTCCAGATGTGGTTATCAGGCTGCCGAGCGTCCTTTAATTAATTACCCTGATACGCAACAGGTGTCAGGTAACTAAGGTAACTACAGAAGAACTGAGGGTTATTGCATACGGTATATTAAACTAACATTATCTAACGCACATACTCAGCCCTACATATAATAAATAAATAATGGAATGACTTGGATAAATCACAATATAACTTGTACTTTTACTTTACATTTATGAAAGAATGAAGACCTTTTGTTTTTGTGAAGTGTTAAGGACGGCCTACATCCAGTGAGATGGAAACTGTCAATTAAACTAAGGTTCCAAGCTTTGAACTTTGTAATGTTTTGGTAAAAAACAAAAATCATGGGAAAGAAGGGAGGTCACTAATTTTGTTGGGAAAGAAAACAATGAAGATGAAGTACTACAGTACACTTGACATGTAAGCCTTATGCTGACTTAGTTCTGGAGCTCCTGCTCTGTGATTCTATCAAAGGTGCACATTTTCAAATGTATCTTCTAAAATGATAATGCTGTACCTTTATTTTGAATGTATTAACCTATCGTTGTTTTGAGGTTTTCATTTGAAAGTTGTTGTCTTAACAAACATTTAAATTTAAAATGTTGGACCATTGTCACAGACTCCTAATATTTGGTTTTGTATCAGTTCTTTTAGTTCTTGAAATGTAGAATGCAAGGATATAGAATACTTAGAACACTCTGGTACTTGCTTTTTGGAGCAGCCGATGCCTGCAGAGCTGCAGGAGAATACAGAGCTGCTACAGGTGGAATGACAGATTTACTGCTTGGTCTCTGCCCAAACACACACTTTCCTCCTAAACAAACTTTTTTCTACATCCATAAACCATTGTTTTGAAACAGGTCATCTCAGAGGTAGACAGTCTCCATAGAAACCATTCCTGCATCTGGCTGGAACCCAGGGTTGTTAAAAAACTAGAAAGACCATTCCAAACATGTTCTGTTTTTTGTTTTTTTTTTCTAAATCTAAGATTTAATGAAGCAGTCCTCAAAGCCAAAATTGGTTTACATGAAATTTTAGCCTGGCTTAGTGCACAATTTTAAAGGCAGTAAATGGATTTTTACTTGGTTTCCACAGAAAGAAGTGGGAGGAAAGGAGCAAAATGGACCAGATGAGGAGGCAGTTAAACATGGGGTCACAGACTGCACCATCAGACTGAAAGGAAACAAAACGAAGCAGCCAAGTACATAGCTGTTGTTTTATCAAGTTCATTGTGTCGTCTGGATCACTCCAGAACTCCAAAATATACTACATCACAGAAAGCATGGGAAAGTTCACCAAAACTAACACGGGTGTCTCCATTATCTGTTGTGTCCATGACAGCAGTGAAATTCATCATGAGAAGTGCATCGCACCAGGACAAGGACAAGATAATGTTCTCTGGTTTTACTGACAGACTGAACACATTTAAACATTTTAGAAAAACCAAATATAGCTCAGAGGCTGTTATCTGTTAAACATATTAATTACAAACTTGACAAAAAATTGCCAAGACCAGAAAAATGTTGTCTACTTTATTAAGATTGCTGACAGCACAGTAGCCTAATCCTATGGTTGTTGAATTTTGACAAAACAGATTACTTCAGAAATAAATTTGCTCAACATGAAACAAGACCTCAAAACCAAACAGATTTTTATGCTTTTTTTCATCTGTCTTTTTGTAACAGATGAAAGCAAAGTAATGTCAAAGGAAACTTTGAAGCTTGTTTGAAGAGCGGGTCTGACAGGCATGAAGAGATTCAGAAACACTTAAATGGAGACCACAGGCATATATTATTCACATGAGTGCATCTTTCAGACAAAACTAGTGAAAATAAACAACATCATGGTTTTCTTGGTTTCCAATAAGTGTCTTATACTGTTTTCTACCATCTCTTCTATGTCATTGTCTTCTGGGTCTGAAATAATAGCTTCCAAATAGTGAAGTCACGTTACAATTGGACAACTCAGATATACAAGCTGAGCAAAAGTAAAAATTAAAACAGAGCATGGACTTATTTATGATGGTGACAAATCTTATTTGTTATTGGTGCAGTTAGAATAATAATATTATTGTTGGTCATTATATGTCTGTTTTATAAACCTTGAGTATTAGACGAGGGTTTCAGGGATACAATTAGCCTTAATGTTATTATATTATTATTGTTTTCAACTGCTGATATAAATAAGTAAGTGTGCTGGTGGTCTATGTAAGTCTATGCAGTGATCCAGAACTGACACCAGAGAATCTAGAGTGTATTGTAGTGAAGGACTTTGTGTATGTTCTTTTCATTTCTATACTGAAACATTTGAACTTAACAATCTGGTGAAATAACATGTAAAAACAAAACTGAAAAAAAGGCTTTTGTACAATTCAGCAGTAACTTTGAGTTTTTGCTAAAACAATTCTGACATAACATCTCAGATCTCATAGCTTTGTTTACCTCTGATGCTACCTTCAGCCCCATCAAGTCAAGATGGTGAGAGAGGAGTTGTGAATCAAACCAGACTGCTTTTGCTCTCTCTCTCTCTCTCTCTCTTTCTTTCTACACCCCCCACCCCACCACCCCTCCTCTCTCTCAGGTGGCCACAGATGTGACAATCTGGACCACTTCCCCATTTTCCTGGATGGCTCCTTGAATGGCCTCCTTAACTTCCATGTCAGCCTGCAAGGCTGGAGCGATCTCGGCCGCCTGGGATGAAGAAAAAGGAAAATACAAATACATTGACTACACATACATGTAAATGTTTTAATTATTGCACTCCAGCTCCTGGCAATGCACCCAAACTACTCCTTTAAGCGATTTCCTGAAGTCATCTAGACAGTCATTTACAGGGCAACATAAGGATACAAACAACCAGTGATACTGGCAGTCATACCAATGATCTGTTCAGTGTTCCATTACTGTAATTCTGCATTCATTTACACTCAAGCAGAACGAGCACACTCCGTGCAAGGAGACCAGTTGTATTATTAATAGTCAGCCTTGTCTCCTTTCTACATATAAATTACTAATTTCATCCATTCCTTGAGTCATTATGCTTTGTGCTTCAGTGGTCTTTCACAACTGTGTCACCGTGGCTGCAACTGCAGTCTCCACTACCCCATGGGGATGATTCATTTTTATGAATCATAATCAAATAGTCCCTTCTCACTATGGCACAATACAACACTGGCAACTACTGCTGGGTCCAGAACTGCATTTATTCATCTTCAGCAGCCTGTTCCAGTCAATGGGTGAAGTTGGGTAAACCCTAGCAGTTCAATAGTCCATCACTGGGGCACTCACAATCACCTCCCCGCTGCCCCATCTAGAATATCTAGATCAAGAGTAGTGTAGCCTAACCACTGTGTCACAACATATAACATTACTGTAGAAAAGAATTAATAATACTTAAATGGTCTGAGAAGTAATGGCGATGGCTATTTAAAAAAGAGAGAGAGACTTAGAACTGTTGAACGCCCTCATATTTCTTCAATTCCTGTGGGTATACGAGCATTTCGTTCAACTAAACAGACTATTATATCAAAGATATATCCACACTGGGTCTCTTCCTAATTTTTTTTTTCCTTCATTGTTTTACCTAATCTAAGAGTGTTCTCCACAGTTTTTCCTGATCCAAATCACTGATAGAGTGAAGTAAATTGACAGAAAATATGGAATCTGTACTTGAGTTATACAAAGAAAAAATCCATTGATGTGGTTCAGCGTTCAGTAGAATCCTTTTTGACAACAGAATTTACATTGGAAGTGGCTTTCTTTGTAAAACATTGAGTAATAACTCACAATATCAATTGTAAAATGTTGTTTCTATTAAAGTAATCACTCAATGCTTTCATGTTGTTTACATTTTTCAGGTTTAAGTTGCAACTCCAAATGTTGGCCTCATGCAATTCAGTAACACAGGAAAAGTATAAAAACTTAAAAGTTAAGTCTTAACCTAACAATAACCCACTGCTTTTTTCATTATTGGAGCAGAGACATAAGGGGGAGAGGTGAGAAAGAAGATACACGAGAGCAGGCTGTAAAAGGAAAGGAAAACAGAAACATTGATTTTTGTTTGACACCACATGAGCTGTTTGTCTGTAAATCCTCTGTCTCTATAGTTAGTTTCAGACAGAGCAGGATACTGAACTGATAAAACCCCTTAAGACCTAAGAGGTTCATGACTCAGTCATGGATGATGACCACAAGGCGTGACTCACTCCTTCCTCACAATGCGCCAAAAGTTCCTTCAAACACACCTGCACTTTTTAATCCTCCCTTCAGTCCAGCATGCTGTCAGTAGACAACACTCATTCCTGGAGCACAGCTGCATCACAGCAGCAGCAGCAGCACAGGATAAATCCACTAAATGACACAATCTCATAACACGGGCTTTGCTGTCAATCTAAAAATACTGACAGATATTGGATGCAGTTCTTTTATGTCTTGTTTTCCCGGAAAATGCTCTGGCATTTGTCAGAGAAGTTTGCTGTAACCTGGCTGTCAGCAACGGGCAGTCCATACATTAGGCCAGAGCTAAATCAAAATTCAATCATACATTTGGGTTTGAGGAAATGTCCCAAGAAAATATGAAAGTGTATACCCCCAACCCCTTACTTCACCAACTTTGGGTAACGGAAACAAATGAGAGGGGAATTGTACAGACAAATAAACAGAAACACTTTTAGTAAAATCTCAAGTACTTAAATGTACATGAATGTTTCCATGTGTCTGGAAACAGATGAGAGTAATTCTCTTGATTCAGCACTTTTAAAAAGCAGAACTGGACAGAAGGGCAATATTTGCAATAATTGCACTCTAAAACGATAAAATCGGATTGTGACAATATGCCAAGTCAACTTTTATATGTTCCCAAATTGCCATTTTGTCTCAGCAAAGTTTTAACTGAGTTGAAATGCACATTTAATTAGTGTATTTTCTTGCTTCTGCCCATGTCTTTAAAATGGTTGTGTTGCAAATTTGATAGGTCATTAAATACTTTGCTCTCACAACCTGCTTCTCTCATCCTTGATATTGTTATTTGAAAACGCTAGAGACTGTGTGGATCTTTGCAGAAACTGTGATACCCTTCTGTATTATCATGGCATTGAAGATGACAGCCCAGATAAGACAAGACCTCTTAGCAAAGGATGTAGATATAAGTCAAAAAGTTTCTCTTAACAATACACATATCAATACACAAAGAAAATAATTAATTGTCATATTTCCAACTACTGATACTGACTCCAGTTCTACTAAGACAAAAAAGAGACACTGATTTGACCATGATGAACTATATTGATATTAGTCTAGAATTGTATGGAACCAAACCAAGCTTGTTTCATACATAAAAATTTAATAGATTTTAAATTAGATTTTGAAGTAAAACAATTGCTTTGGTGCACCAACCAACAAGGAAGTTAAAGTTATTCAGTTTGTTTATATTCTACATCCAAAAAATATAATTGAGCTCATGAGGCAAAGACCCAATTACCTAGACAACTAAAAATAACAGATAAACAACGAGAAGGAGTTTCACAGTCAAAGCCTAAAAAAATAAATCCCAGAACCTGATGTGGACTCTAGCCTGTCTGGACATTTGCTCTCCGCATGTCTTACAGGAAGGTGGAGTATAACCAATCACTTGAACAAAGTTTGAAAGCAGATCATATGGCCATATTTATTGTGTTTACAACAAAACAAAGACTTTGACTCACACCAGGTCTTGTGGATAGTCATTTTTTAACATGTGACTTGAGGGGAGGCCATAAAGAGAAAATGTTATTCCACATTTTTGAGGAAAAACAAAGGCAGAGAGAACAAAAGAAAAAGTGCAGTTTTTTTTATTTTCCTTGCTGAGTTTAACTGACCACTTCAAAGGCCTTGTTGTGCCATGTTCACCATCCTGTTTCCACATGTGGCTCAGACTTGGAGCACTCAATCGTCGGTGGATTTAATGCATATCTACTAATGACTACTTTCCTTCCCTTAAACACTCCATCCACTTTACTTTACTAGGTTAAATTACTATTTGTCCAAACACCTGTCATGATGACTGAGAGCCAAGTGCTTTCTATACAAAGAATAATTATGTCATCAGGGGAAATGCACCCACTATAATGGTAAGTAGTTTGCCTAAATTGCTGAAATTACAATGTTTCCATATCAAGATGATTGTAATTATGAATTCAACTTTTCAAGTTTTAGTCTGCCTCATTTAAACCCTAATCAAACCATTACACCCCAACACCTGAACACCTAAGCTCCTGAATTCTTCCTATTACAGAACACAAAGACAATAATTCATGCACTGAATCCTAAGACTGCAGTCACAGCAGACCAGATTGGCCTTGTTTAACTGTCCGGGTGATTGAAGCATCATTCATCTCTACACAGAGTGTATTTTCTTACTTTGGTCATATTTCAGATTCAAAATCAGTTTGGGCGACTTCCTACAGCGCAATGATCTGAATGTTTAAGTTGGCAAGTGGCTGACCAAAGGGCATGATTTAAAAGCGTTTTATCACTAAGAAGAACATTATCACATATGGGAAATGTGTAGACAGAACAAATAAGTACGTGTTGTAATTCTGGTCATAGGTACAGGCTTCTTAAACACAACAGGAAACATGTCTGTCTGACTGAAAGACAAAAAGTGCTAGAAAAAGAGTTTGGCCATGACAATAATTTCTTTGATTTGTTTTTGCTGAATTTTGATTGAAGAGGTTAAGAATTCGGTGTAAACAGGGAAGAACAGATGCAGACGAGTGTCTGGGGTGTGTGAAGCTTTGAAGGGAAGGGAAGCTCTAATGGATGGTAGTGAAAACCTACTATGATGTATGGTTTCTAGACAGTGGTCCTGTGTAAAAGTCAGTAGTCTGGACTAATAGTGGCCTCTAAGTCATTTTATTGGGGTTGAGAAGTTTAAACTTAAAGTTATAGATGTGAAAGTGGAGGGAGAGATAGTAGATATATATGGAATGCTGGAGAAGGAGCAGCTACACAGGAGAAAAGAATTCAGGTCTATGGGGTGAAGGCCATTGACATGAATGGGGCAGCAGTAGAGAAAGTCGAGTAGAGGCAGGGGACAGGGTGGTGTGGAGGAGGTTGACCTGCTCTGCTAACCATGAACAGAGCTGTGCAAAGAAGCAGAAGAATGATTGACCTGGACCTTTAATTTTAATCTTAGAGCAACCCTATATCTTAGAGCACAAGATGGTCTCTTCGTCTCTTCAGATATTTTGGTATTTAGTTGAGCTATTAATATGCACAGGCAAGTGAAATGACCCTCATCTTGGGAAACAGTCCACAAGCATTAGCTTTGGTAGCAAAGGGTGTCCTTATTGCATGTGTAATTTACCTGCACAGCAGCTCCATGATCTGTCACAGGGGCTAGCTGGACATACTGCACTTGAATGTCAGGAGGAAGGGCAGTACCCTCTACTGCTGTGGCTCCCCCGTCAGCTGATGCCACCGCTATCAGCTGAGCCCCACGCAGCACCTATGAAAGACCGAGAACAGAAAAGCTTATCATCATTGACAGTACTACCCTATTGCAATTCCTGTTAAAAAGTAATAAAAATAATAAAAAATAGTCAAAGTAATACATGTAAATTTGCAATCTGATTAGTTCTACATCACTACAAAAAAGGTAAATAATCAAAATTGTAAAACGAGAGCGCACTAATAAAGTCACTTATTTCAATGTCAGTGCAATCAACTTTGTGGGACATGGTGTAAACTAGGATACTATCACTTCAGCAAAGGCAGCCTGCTGTAGGAGTAAAGAAGGGATCGGATTGATATCAAATACTCCCAATTGCAGTATCAGTATTGGTATTGCACATGAAAAAGTAGTAATGAGTCATCTCTAGCATGAAATGGCTGGGTATCAGATCCCTTTTCCCAATCCCACCCAGTGTTTATGGTGAAGAATCTTTATGTTCTGATGTAATTAATCAACAATTTAATTTTCTTTGTTATCCCAGACTCCATAACTTGATGTGTGTTTTGTGTGTTTGTGCGTGAGTTTGGGATGTAAAAAATTATGATGGAGAGAATAAAATAAAAATAATCTGGCAGAGAATGTTCAGTGATACAAAGCAGGGGCATAGTAATCTCCCAGAGTGTTGAAAGTCAGCCAGGCGACATTAGCTCTTTGTGGATTTGCCACATTAATTACAGAGCAGTGCAGTGCAGCTGCAGCGTTGTTGGGAATTCCTATAGTTTGTTCATTTCTGCCATATATAGACTGTAACCACAAACAAGAGGACAGCATGTGCTGTAGTTGACTTGTGCAGTCAGTGACATACACACGTTCAGGGATTAGGAAAACACTGTTGTTAATTTGGATAGTGAAACTCCCATTTGATAACCAACATACAAATTAAAATACAATTATCTTTTCAACACATACGCATAAAAGACAGATGATGTGTAACATTGAGCAGCTTTGTGCTTGTGCAAATGTATTTTAATCAGACAGAGGTCAAACCTCTTGTGTGGCCAAGAGCATGTTTCTAAAGGGGGGGGGGGGGGGGGGGGGTGCAAACACAAGGGGTCTCCGGCATCGTAT